CCACAATAGATAACTGATACTCCTTAAGCCACAGTGTCAGAGAGAGATGAGCAAGATGAAGAAGCAGAGAAACCACTCCCAATTAAAAGATCAAGAGAAATCCCCTGAAAGAACGATCAATGAAATAAACATCGATAGCCTACTAGATCAAGGTTTCAAAAAAGGAGTGATCAAAGTACTGAAGGAACTAAAAGAGATAGTGTTTAGAGATATAAAATATGTCAAAAATGAAATTGAAGCTATAAAGAAGAGCCAAGTAGAACTGGTAAACTCATTTGCTGAGATGAGAGCTGATCTAAATGCTGTACAAAGCAGGCTAGCTAATGCAGAGGAACAAATTAGTGACCTACACGATAAGACAACAGAAAGCACCCACTCAGAACAGCTGAGAGAAAAACAAATAAAAAACAAAACAATATAAGGGACCTATGGGATAATATAAAGCATGCCAATCTACACATAATAGGGGTCCCAGAGGGGAAGAAAGAACAAAGGGGACTGAAAAGGTATTTGAAGAAATCATGATTGAAAACTTCCCAAACCTAAAGATGGAATCAGATATCCCAGTACAGGAGGCTCAGAGGGTTCCAAACAGGAAGAACCCAAACAGACCCACACCGAGACATATCATAATCAAGATGGCCAGAGTCAAGGATAAAGAAATGATCCTAAAGGCAGCAAGAGAAAAACAAAGAGTGAGTTACAAGGGAACCCCCATAAGGCTCTCAGCTGATTTCTCTACACAAACACTACAGGCCAGAAGGGAGTGGCAAGATATATTCAAAGCCCTGAATGAAAAAACGATGCAGCCTAGGATATTCTATCCAGCAAGGCTATCCTTTAGAACAGGAGAGATAAAGAACTTCACAGACAAGCAAAAACTAAGAGTTTAGCAACACTAAACCCATGCTAAAAGGAATATTGACAAGCCTACTCTAAATAGAAAAGAAGCAGGATGCTACAAAAATGAGAAACTCATAAGTGGAAAGGAGATAACTACCATGAATTACAAAAAGAATAAACAAAATTGTAAAAGAAGACATCTAAATCATTAAGAGTGGGAGAGGGAAGCAAGAAAAGCCATTGTGGAAAACAGTATGGAGATTCCTCAAAAGACTAGGAATAGACTTACCATATGACCCAGGAATCCTGCTCGTGGGCATAAATCCAGAAGGAACCCTACTTCAAAATGACACCTGCACCCCAATGTTCATAGCAGTACTATTTACAATAGCCAAGACACGGAAACAGCTTAAGTGTCCATCAACAGATGACTGAGTAAAGAAGATGTTGTATATTTATGCAGTGGAATACTATTCAGCCATAAAAACCGACAACATAATGCCATTTGCAGCGACATGGATGTTCCTGGAGAATGTCATTCTAAGTGAAGTAAGCCAGAAAGAGAAAGAAAAATACCATGAGATCGCTCATATGTGGAATCTAAAAAAACAAAACAAAACAAAACATAAATACAAGACAGAAACAAGATTCACAGATATAGAATACAAACTTATGGTTGCCAAGGGGGCAGGGGGTGGAAAGGGACAGACTGGGATTTCAAAATGTAGAATAGATAAACAAGATTGTACTGTGTAACACAGGGAAATATATACAAGATCTTGTGGTAGCGCACAGCAAAAAAAAAATGTGACAATGAATATATATATGTTCATGTATAACAGAAAAATTGTGTTTTACACTGGATTTTGACACAGCATTGTAAAATGATTATAACTCAATAAAAAAAGTTTAAAAAAGATACTTTGTATTATTTCAATCTTTCAAAGTTTATTAAGATTTGTTTCATGGCCTAACATGGTCTGTCCTAGAGAACGTTTCATTTGCACTTGAGAAAAGTGTGTATCCTGCTTTGTTGGGTAGAGTGTTTTATAAATATCTGTTTGGTCCAATTGGTTTGTAATGTTATTCAAGTTCTTTATTTCCTAACTGATCTTCTGTCTGGTTATTCTATCCATTATTGAAATCTGAGTATAGAAGTCTCTGCTTATTACTGTAGGACTATCTGTTTCTCCTTTCAGATCTGTCAGTATTTGCTCTATACATTTTGGGGTTCTGATGTTGGGTACATATATCAATTTCAGGTTAAAACTTTATCTAAACTTTATTTGTCTCATGCAGGTCATACTTTTTATATTTTGAACATATTTTTATAGTGTACTTTTTATATTTTGTACGTATTTTTAGAATTCAGCCGTATTTGATAGAGTTGCTATGGTTCCTTCATTTTCCTTGCCACATGGAGTTTCTTTGTATCTGACTGCAACTTTTTCTATGTCATTTCTATTTCCATATACATTCTTAAGTCAGCATGTCAATTTCCAAAAAAAAATTCCTACTGAGGTTTGATTGGCATTGCATCCAAATCTGTAAATCAGTTTATGGAGTACTGACATAAGATGTGAGATCTTCCTATTCATGGCATCTCTTTCTCTATATTTGGGTTGTCTTTAATTTCTATCAACAATGTTGTCTTCGTGTTGCCCATGTATTGTACATGTTTTGTTAAATCTAATCCTAATTATGTCAAATTTCCCAATGTTCTTGTAAGTGGTATTGTTTTGTCTTGTGGTTTCCCCCACAGAGGATGGGACCAACCCTACAACCACCCATAATTTATAATGAGTTGTTTATTTTTCTTGATTTTTGTGCCTATTAATTTTTTATTGAATGCATGACCTGGTAACAGGATAGCAGACTGAGGTAAACAGTGTTTATGCCTAGAAAAGGGCATGTCTTTTATTCTATCAGGTCGTTAGTGTGGAATATTGAGCCAACCCGTTTGGGAGTTGAGCGGTGGGCTGGTGCTACCTTGTGCAGGCATGAGGCCTGGAGTGCTGGAAGATTTCATCTCAGAATTCCTGCTTCAGATTTAGCTTTTAGGAGGCCCAGCTGCCTCTTTCTCCTGTGCCTGCAAGAATGAGGGGTGGGAAGAGGGGGGAATCTTTCTCTCCACTCTCAGCCTGCCTCCAGTGATAGGCTGCAGCTCTTTCTTGGTGCAGGCTTATGGAGGAGGTGGAGGGGGGTGGTTATCAGGATTTTCTTGAGGTTTCTCGGTTCTCTTATGGCAGCCTGAGTCCTGGGCAGGCCTTGTGTGCCTGAGTCTCACGGGTGGGGCTTTTCTAGAGGTTCCTGTGTCAGGAGAGGCCTTGATGGACTATCCTGGCTCTTTCCCACCTCTGTGCACTGTGCATGTTGGGCTTGATATGAACATTTTTGGGAAAGGACCATCCAGAAGCTACTGGCATTTGTTGAAACTCCAGCACTGGACAGAGTGATCTTTGAAGATTGTAGTTCTGACCCCATCCCTTCTGAGAAGCCCTCTTGTGCACTCGGTGGCTCTCAGGTCAAAGGCTTTGAGCTCTGTAGTCTCCAGCCTGTCAACCTGACCTTCAATTATATGTCTTGTCTGTCTCCCTGGCTGCAGACCATCAGTTCTGAGGGCAGATGTCTTGTTCTCTGAGTGTTGCTATAGATGAAATGGTGCCTGGCATGCTGCAGGTGCTCAGCAACTATCTCGAATGGATAAGGAGTGAGTGCAAACCTTGAAAGCCCTTATCACCCCTGCTTTCTAGCAGGTTGAGTCCTGCCCCACCTCCAGGTTCATGCACATGTGTCACAGAGATGCCTTTCTGGGGAACCCCCCCCCCCGGTTTCGGGGAGGGGCCTGTCTCCTGTGCAACCAGCCCTGTGCTTGTCAGTCCTGGCACAGATCTCACAAGACTGATATTCCTGCTTGTGCTTCTGCTCCCTCCTCCCAGTTCCCCGGGGCACTGGGAGGGCCTGCAGTGGCCTTTTGCTGCACCAGTGTGGCTGTCCCAGCTTTGCGCTGATTCTGTATGCGCATGCTGAGTTAAACTTTTCAAAGCCTCTTTTCCTCTTTCAGGAAAAGTAAATCATCGCATTCCCCTCAGTGGATGTGAGAGGACTTGGGCTAGAAGCATGTGGCGCATCCTGCGAGGCTGGAGGCGAGGGCGCCTGTGTCCATGGGGAGCCCTGGGGCCACACTGGCCCCCGGGCGTCCGTGCTCTGGCCGTTGCGGGCCCCCGGAATGCGGACGAGTACAGCCACGTGGTGGTGGGTGCGGGCTCCGCCGGCTGCGTGCTGGCCGGCCGGCTCACGGAGG